TTATCGTAGAGATGAGGTCTCGCTGCCCAGGCGGATCTCGAACCCGTGGGCTCAGGCAGTCCACTCACCTCAGCCTCCCAAAGGCGCGGGATGACAGGCTGAGCCACCGAGCCTGGCTTGACTCTTATTTTGAAGCATGGTTTTCATTCTAAATCGATAGAAAAACTGAATATGGAGAAACTAATGGGGGACACTAGTGGTGGTAGGAAGACGGTGACATGGGACCCCTATGGGGTGAGGAGGAGTGTGGATTCAGGGCTGTGTTTGCAAAGCCTCTTCCAGCAACGTGTGGCATTCTTGGAGGGCCTTAATTAGAAGGGTACTGGGTGAGCTGAGGTCAACAGAATGTTCTCGATAAAGAATCAATCCGGCATCTAGATCTCCAAAGAGCCAGAAAGACGTCTTCTAGTGTGACGCCTACTCAAACCGCCGCCCCATTTCCACTTTTCTCACACGTAACCCTCTTTGGGTGTCCCGAATCACAGGTCCATGACCATGTCATTCTGTTTCCCATGTGCATGGGGCTATCCCAAGTGCTGGGCACAAAGTCAGCACTGAAAGGATATTTAACCCATGGATTTTGTGCTACCTAATTGTGATCCAGTATGGTATAAAAGGGGTAATACTCAGAGTTTCAAACTGCCCTGAGTTCTCAAGACCATGTCTGAGAGTCCTACAGGGAGAGTCCTATAGTCAGCTTGACCCAGCAGCCCCTTATGCCTTTGGAAAGGCACATGCCTAGACCCTAGAAGACAAGCAGTCTTGAATGACATGCAGAAGACTAGGGACGCTTAGTTAAAAAAACACAAGACACAAAAAACACACATCTAAAACTGGAAATGGAAACCAATAGCAATGTTAGCCAACACCGGGTTTTCCCCTCTTTTGTACTACATTGCTCCCAAGAAGGCCAGTGCTTTTTATCCAATCATACACCCCCTACCTACTCACCCATTTTAAAAGAGGCTTGTGCTTTCTGAGAGTAGATGGTGAAGCTTTGGCTTAAGAAGTAATTGCCCAAGGAAACCATACCCCACATCTGAGTTTGAATTTAGTTTCTAAATCCTCAGCATCCACCTCACCTTGTTCTGTCATTTCCAGAATTCTTGAACAGGGCACTAGGTAGAAGAAATGTTTTAAGAAAGTTGCTCAGCCTCTTGGAGCCTCAATCCAATGCATGGCTAATGTCTTTGATAGATGAGGCAATGTTCAAGGATTACTTGACAAAGTGCGATTTCATTTTTAGCCTACTAACCCTTCAAAACCACAACAATGGAATGCGATAATGGATGTCACAGGAAAAGAGAAAGACACTCTGACAATAGACATTCCACAATAAAAGGAGGTGTCTGCCATTTGCTAGTGACCTCCCCTGGGTCCTTCTATCCCAGACCATATCCAGTGACGGACCAGTTGTGTCTCTGATGCTTTCATGACTTCTTTTTTTTTGAGCTGGAGTCACTCCGTCACCCAGGCTGGATGGAGGGCAGTGGCATACTCATGACCACCCCAGCGTCGACCTGCTGGGCTCCGGCGATCCTTCCACCTCAGCCTTCCAAGTAACCAGAACTACAGGCGTGCGCTACCACGCCTGGCTAATTTTTTGATTTATTGTAGAGATGAGGTCTCACCATGTTGCCTGGGCTGGTCTCGAACCCATGGGCTCAGGCAATTCTCTCGCCTCGACCTCCCAAAGTGCTGGGATTACAGGCTTGAGTCACTGTGCCTGGCCACCTATTCTTTCCCCAGGAACATCTGTCCAGCTTTTTGGTGATTTAAAATGAACTCAGCTGTGGGGTTTCTATTCATTGCTATATCTGAAAACCTTGGTTGTTCCTTCCCAAGTCCTTTAGACTTGCCCTTTGGACTTGAAATTCATTCTTCTGAATGAAGACCTTACGTCTCCAGTCTCTTTGGAAACTATCTCCCTAGACGGGCTCAAAAGCATCATACTAGTATTATGTGTTAGGAGTTCTAGGGTTTTCAAACTCCAGTTTGGAAATCAGAATCACCTGGAGAGCTTTTTCAAAATGCAGATACGAGGGCCCTAACTTTGGAGCTTCTAATTCAATGGCTTGGAGGGATGTCTGGGTATTTCTATATTTAGAAAGCCCCATGCTTGATGCTAAAGCACGTTGAGATTTGAGAGTCTGTGGTTTTGAGATACAGGCCTAGAGGCTAAGGAGGAGGGATGCTGGAGGGAAAGGAAGAAAGAGGGAGATGGAAGAAGAAGGAAAAAAGGAAGAAATGGCCAGAGAAAGGTCAAAGCAATTAGATACATTGTCAGAAAACAGGCGCATTGGGCTAGGAAGTGCTTCCATCATGAATACCCAAGCAGGAGGCTCTGTTTCACTTTCAGGTGTGTGTATGGGCATGTAGGTGTGCCCGCACACATGCACACACGTGCACGCAGACACACACAACATGGCCATTTTGGAAAGATGCTGGGAAAATCAGAGAGAGGCATGTCCCATGAGCCTGGGATTGTTTCTTCACCTCTGACACTTTTCCCCGTCCCAGCCTGAGCTCTATCACACACATCCCAGGGGAGAAAGCACAACACAGCTGCCGAAAATTATTAGTTGCAGTTGTGTGCTTCTTGTCACTCCCCACTCTGGCTGTCATTATGACAGCGTTTCTTGGGGTTACATCTGGCTGGTGGGGCACCGGTGGCTTGTGGTGAGGGAGAGGGAGGGAGTGATGGAGAAAGATCACAAACATGCATCAGGGCCGTTAGCAAAGGATGTGATACCTGCTCCTCCTAAACCCCAACCCTGCCACCCGCCCACAATTCTATGCCATGGATGGTTCCATAGCAACTTAAGGTGGGGGTGAACCCCCAAAGCACGGTCTCACGCAACAATTAATCCTAGGGCCACTGGGAAATTTGATTGGCTTTGCTAAATAAAATGAATTTGCCTATGAGTAAGGCGTCCGACTCCTTCTGTCTTAAATTGTTCAAAATCAAGTTCTTATGGAGCACGAGCCCAAGAAATGTTTTCCGTCATTTCATTTTAGTTTGAGGTAGAGGGGTTCTGACCTTTGTCTTCTTTTTGGAAGTATCGCAACGCAGCAACTTTGCCATGGCATGGGTCCAGCCAAGCTGCCATTATTCAGTTTAGAAGGTAGCTCACTTCCCTAGACAGGGCTTCTTAGACTGGACTGGATCTTATTGATGACTGAGTCCAGAGCCTAGGAACACCCCTGGCATGCAAGGACTCTCAATGTTTGCTGGTTACAAGGCACCTGGACAAATTCCAAGTCATCATTTCTAGAGAAGTACAAGTTTCAAAGCAACTGGGCTTTGGCATGTTGACTATAACATAAAAACTGGGAAAGAGGGTTTTAGAATAGGACATGGTGCTTAAAAAAAATGAGAAAACAGAATCCTGGGCACCACATCTCTGTACTGCTATGAAACTCTTCGTTCTGATTCAGGAAGTCAACACCTCTCTTGGCGTTACTGTCTTTCTATCTGGCAGCTCTGCTCCGCAGAAAGCCATTCACTTCACTCTCACTCTTCCCTGCTTTGGTTTGGAGACATGTTCCCTGAGCAGGCTCTCAGATTGTTTTCATGATGGCCAAATAAATTTGACTGTTTGCAAAACTCTGGGGGAGATGGTATTTTTAAGACTGGAAGCCTGCTTGTATTCGCCCAGATTCTGGAGAACAACGCTGGATCCTGGCAAGTCATTTCTCATGCTGAAGTCGGAGATACGACAAAGACTGTATTTCCTGGATTTTTTCCTAATAATGGACTTGACTTTGCCAGAATGGAGATGGCTCAAATATGGAGTGTAGATTTGCTCGTGGGATAGGCTGCGTAAAAATCTGGCACCTCAAATGGCTCAGAGGTCGGCGAAGAACTATTGGCAGCTGGATAATAAAGGGGCATCTTTCAAGTAAATGAGGACTTACTACTGATTGGCTGGCACTCAAGAAGTAGATTTCTAAGTATGTATTGCATAGCCAGCAGCGTGAGTCGATAGAAGTCAAAACAATGCCAATGAATTAGTCTGATGGACTATTTCTACTCTATTAAGATGAAATTAATATGAAAATTGAAAAGCATGCTGTAATTGCTACACAATTCAATACAAATGGTTTCTTTACACGGTTTCTTTTTAAAAGACTGGGTTTGATTTTTTTCTCTTCATCTCTAAGAATTCATAATTCAGCCTCATTGGTCTCTTTTGGGGGAAGAGGAGAGAAAAAGATAAAAGCAGAAAGAACGCTACAATGGGAGGAGGAGCCGAATGAAACTCTCGTGCCAGGCTTGGCCAGCCCACCCACAGGGCATCCACCACGTGCCAGCCAGGGTTTTGCACTAAGGTCAGACAAGCTGAATGACGACATTTTTCTAAGACTGGTGGGTAGGGAGAAGGGACTCATTAGGGTGAAAAGGTCATGCTTTGTTTCTCAGGCAAGACCTAAAAAAACCCAAAGATACTCTCATCAACCATTCCATGAAGATGGGGATGTGACCCCAAGATCACGGGCAGGAGGGAAGAAGGAATGTCTTGCAACCTCTGTGTCCCCCACCCTCCATCTGGCCACCTTCCGTTACGTACCCAGTACAGCACATCCGTCCAGCCCTCCATGGTGATGCACTGGAACACCGTCAGCATGGCAAAGGCGAAATTGTCAAAGTTGGTGATGCCGTGCTTGGGCCCATCCCAGCCAGGCTTGCACACGGTGCCGTTCTGGCACTGCCGCCCGTGGCCTGACTCCAGCGCACATGGGGAAGGATCATCTTCTGCTGGAACATCTCCAGGGGCCAGGAGAAAAGAAGAGTAAATGGGAGAGGAAGGAGGGAGAGAGACAGGCAGAGAAAGAAGAAAAGGCGTCAGAGAGAAAAGTGGCAGGACACGGTTGAGGGGACGGGCAAAAAAATCATGGCAGCCATAGCGCAGAACACCATAGAATCCGTTCCTCCACCTGTGACCTAAGCAACGTAGAAAACTAGGTGTTCATTTTAGACTGCTGTTAACTGAAAGGTCAGCTTTTCAACTAGTTGTTGCAAAAGTGGTATTTTAACCTCAGGAGTGGATTTCAAAGACAGGAAGGCTACTGCCTATAACACAGTATCACGGTCAAAGGGTCAGCCAAAACAGAATGACATCACTATTTCAAGTGGAAATTGTCCCTGAAAATGATAAGAAGTCCATATTTTCTTTTGCTTGGTGATAAAGTATCTACAGACACTGCCATTGGAATACCAGGGTTCAGAGTGAGGGTTATGTTGATCGGAGACTCCTTCCCACAACTAGCTGACCGATCCCATCCAATGATGCTTTCTGACTATTCATGGGTCTATTATATACAGGACAAGATGCATTGCCATGGACACAGGTCACTTTACAGGGAAACAGTCTATAGATGAAGGACAGAAAATATAGCCTGGCTGCAGGGAAAAGCATTACCCGCAGCCGTTTTCAGCCCAGTCTGTGAGAGCACATACTGCCTGTGTTGTGCCTGGCACGTGGGACCTCGCAGTCTGTCCTTTGCTCTCCAGCATGAACACCGCTCAGAAGAGAAGAATCACGTCTTGACCTCTAATCAAGACAGAGTGGTGGTGGGGAACAGGGAGAATACTTCATAGGTACAAACGGGGCTTTTTCCAGCAAACAGTATCACACATTGTCTGTGGCTAAAAGCAGTGCTTAGACAAATTCCACATGCAGGAAGTAGCTACCAGCAAACTACTGGATTAAGATGTGGTTTATATTTTTGGTATGGAGATGGTTGGTAAATTTTTATTTTATTTTTGAGACAGGGTCTCACTTTGTCACCCAGGCTGAATTACAGAGGCACAATCACGGCTTACCACAGCCTCAGCCTCCTGAATAGCTGAGACTGCAGGTACACACCATCAGTTCTGGCAATTTTCTTTTTTGTAGAGACGAGTTTTTGCTGTGTTACCCAGGCTGGTCTCGAGCCCATGGACTCAAGTGATTCTTCTGCCTCAACCTCCCAAAGTGCTGGGATAACAGGCCTGAGCCACCATGTCTGGTGCTTGGTAAATTTAAATAAGGCTTGGCTGATCTAAGAATTTCCCTTATGGTAAAATACTAAGAAAGTTTTGGCCCTGGCTGTTGAAGGCAATAATCGCATGGGATTCACAGACGTTTGTGAAATGAAGGACATTGCCTTGTCCTCATAGAAAGTAATAACAATTCTGTTCCATTGATCTATATGCCTGTTCCTGTACCAATACCAAGCTGTTTTGATGATTGTAGCTTTATAGTAAAGTTTGAAGTCTGGTATTGTGATACCACCTGCTTTGTTTTTTTTTTTTTGCTGAGAATTGTTCTGGCTATTCTTGGACTTTTGTGTTTCCATATGAATTCCTGTGTTGTCTTTTCTAGGTCTGAGAACAATGTTGCTGGTAATTTAATGGGTATTGCATTGAATTTGTAGATTGCCTTAGGTAAGATGGACATCTTCACAATGTTGATTCTTCCAATCCATGAGCATGGGATATTTTTCCATTGTTCGTGTCAGCTTTGACAAAACCATAATAAAAAATATTGATTAATAAAAAATTAAAAAAATTAAAAAATAAAAACAAGCAAAAAAAAAAAGCAAGAAAGTAATAACAATGACAGATGAGACCTCAGTTCTAACAAACAAATAATTGCCTCTGACTACAGTGAAAATATGCACCCAGAAAGAGAATTTGCTTGTCGTTTCTTCATTTCGAGACAGCAGATTGCCTAGGAACTTTTCTTGTTTCATATGTTTCAAAACAATCACCAGTGTGATGATTTTGCCTGTGGGACACAGGCGCTGTGTTGAAAACTGTTGCTTGATTGGCCGTTTCTCAGTTTGTGGCTTTACTTTTGAAACTGTTCACTCCCAGGTGAGTGGATGGCCTGAGCCTGCGGGTTTGAGACCCGCCTGGGCAACTTGGCGAGACCTCATCTGTACAATAAATCAAAAAATTAACCGGGCGTGGTAGTGCGCGCCTGTAGCTCCAGCTCCTTGGAAGGCTGAGGTGGAAGGATCGCCGGAGCCCAGCAGGTGGAGGCTGCGGTGGCCGGGAGCGGCCTCTGCACTCCAGTCTGGACGACCGAGTGAGACTCCAACTCAAAAAAAAAAAGAAGACAGGAAGAGAAATATTATTCCTTAACTTAGAGATAATTCTTAGGAGAGTGGAATTGAGTGCTGTGGTTGAAAAGATACACCCGATTGTGTCTTCCTGGTAGCAGTGGCAGTAATGGCTTCTCCTCCTCCTCTTCTTCCTCCTCTTCTTCTGTCTCGGCTTTCTCAGCTTTATTGAACTGTAATTTACATGCCTTAGAATTCATCAGGGTAAATGTGCAGCTCGATTATTTTTAGTAAATTTACATAGTTGTGCAGCCATTGCCACAATCTGTCTGAAAACACTGCCATCGCCCCCTAAAACTCCGTGAGCCTGTCTGCAGCCAATCCTTGCTCCCATCCCCAGCCCCTAGAAACCAGGTCTGTTTTCTATCTTCATTGTTTTGCCTTACCCAGGAACCTCACCTAAATGGAGTCACACACTACGAGGCTTTGGTGTCCATCTGCTGTCACCCAGCATAATGTTGGGGTCTCATTCGTGCTGTGGCATCTGTCAGTATGGTCTAGTGCTCTTTATTGCTGAGCAGTGTATTTCACTGCATGTTTATTCATTCACCAGTCTGATGGAACGTGGATTGTCTCCAGGTTTGGGCCGTTATGAATCATGTTGCCTCCCGGCTTATGATTGGTCTTGTGTGAGTCCTGTGTCAAGGTCTGCATTACTGGTTCCTGAACTGTTAGAAGGAATGACAATGTTGACACCATGTCCTTGTTCCAAGGTCTGGCTCCCAGGAGGGCTCCATTCATGTAGCTGAACTAAGCTGTCCTCTGGTTACGATTTTCTTTGTGACTTTTGAAATTGTGAAATCCATAGAGATTCAGATGTAAGGCTTTAAAAGGGAAGGACTCTAAAAAGCGAATCCCAAACCTAAAGGATACATGAAAAAGAGGAAAACAAGCACCAGAAACATTGAGAGTTGAGCGACTGGAAGACCAAGAACCAAACAGATCGTAATTTCTGTTGGGTTCTCACCCATTCTAGTCATAGCTTTCTAGAGGAACATGTTTAGTGACCGTGATAAAAGTGCTGGGATGATCAGAAAGATAGGATGGAGGAGTAGTAAAAAAAACCAAACAAAAGAGAAACTTGCATTTTTCTCCTTATGTTTTGCTTTTTTTTTTTTTGAGTTGGAGTCTCACTCTGTCACCCAGGCTGGAATGCAGTGGCATGCTCACGGCTACCCCAGCATTGACCTGCTGGGTTCTGGCGATCCTTCCGCCTCAGCCTTCCAAGTAGCCAGAATTACAGATGCGCACTACCACGCCTGGCTAATTTTTGACTTCTTGTAAAGACGAGGTCTCGCCAAGTTGCCCGGGTGGGTCTTGAACCCGCGGGCTTAGGCAATCCACTCGTCTTGGCTTCCCAAAGTGCTGGGATCACAGGCTGAGCCACTGAGCCTGGCTCATGTTTTGCTTTTTAGTAAAGATGCAGTGAATCTTCCCATTGTGGCTGCTCACCTGACAAAAGTCCCTGTACTTTCAGTTCCTGAAACGGCACAAAGGAGGATGACAGGAAGGCTGCCAAAGTGAATTCTGAGTGTCCTCGAGGAAGGAAAACATATTTGGGGGACTTTACAAACATCTCTGAAAAAGAAAATGGCATCAAGGGGATGTGATCTCAGTAACAGGAGAGGAAGGGCGGGGCTGAGAGAGATGGTCTCAAGGCTCCAGTGCCTCTCTGCTATTTTAAATCTGTCTTGAACAACAATAAAAAAAGGTTTGAGAACAATAAAGAAGCGGTGACGATCTGGTAAAAATAGGTATCTATAAAAAGCACTAAAGGGAACGCTTGAAAAATGTGAACACACACAAATCAGCCGGTCCGGAGACATGCGCTGTAGGGTGAGGGGACATTCATGTCCACGTAAAAATGTGTTGACTTTCTTTTGCAGAATCATGAGGTCCTGGAGAGGAGGGTAGGGACATGAGCTGGGAGAAGGGAACAAAGCAATTCAGGCTCTACGTTTTAAAACAGAAATGAAGGGAGGCAGAGTCATTCTGGAAAGTTCCAATTAAGTTTTCGGTAAAATAACGGAGGCGAAGATGAGGAGAGATCTGGGAAATCTCTCCTGTTGGCAGTTAACTCTAACAAAAACAGGAAATCCCGGGAGAGCCCCAGTTAGCAGTTCCAAGGAGAAATCACCAAAGACAAAAATCAGTTCCTTTTTTTTTTTTAAGGACCCAACTTTAAGGTGTGAATAGAATGAAGATGATTTCATTTCTAGGTTTTGGCCAGCCGATTCTTTGCCAGTCTCAGGGGTAATTATTGTGCTTGGGAAGCTATTCAGAGTGACCTGGCACAGGGCACCATCAAACAGATGGGATGACCAGAAACAAAAGGTACCGGCATATGGTGATGAATCTGTTAAGGAACCAAGAAGGCGCCTTGCAGATGTCTCAGGGATTAGGGACAAGTTGCCTCTTCCGAGACCCTCTTCACCAGGCACTGCCCACTGGAAGGGCAGCTGAGAATAGGACGTCGTTCACTTGACCAGCTCCATTGCATTCTTGTGCAGGCTTTATAGGAACATTGGCTCAACAGCCAATGTGTCCTGAAATCTAGACATACATAAAATTCACACTCTGTGAAATAGTATCAAAGTATAAAAAGAAGAATTTGATGTCAGGCCCATTACAAATTATAACAAGGACTCACAAAGCATTTTTTATATCATCTCCATTGGCAGAAAACAGGGTAATTCTTCGATCCAAATTCTGAAATCTAAAACATTTTTAAGACTCGCCCATTGCAAAGGCTATACAAAACACAAAACAGTCAGGGATTGGTTTCAAAGTCTGCAGGTCTGGGGGCTTCTCTTCCATGGATACGTGGACTTGTCCAGATTCCTGCATGTTTTTCCCTCTTCATCCGCATCGGTGACTGTGTGGGTGAAAGGGCCCCCGATGGCAGTGGTGTCCTGTTCTGTTGGGAGTGACGGAAGGCTCCCTGGCTTGTCATCAGATGGCAGGTTTAGAAATGAGCTCCTGCTTACGGAGTGTTTCAAAGTAAAGGCTTCTGCAGTTGTGTCCTTGGCCCCAGAAGGAAGTCTGGTCCACACGGAAGAGGGAGGTGCCCCTTCCCATGGAGCCTGGTAAACTTCCTCTCTAGAACATGGCTCTCGGTGTCCTCTGACACCCTGACCCTCCTGGCTCATGGCCGTTTCCAGGATGGAAGCCTACTTCTCTTCGGAACTTGTGGGACAAGGACACAGATAATCTGATAAGCCTCACTGAAGGAGGCAAGCAACTTCTCAGTTACTTATCCTGATTGCTCTCAAGTCAGGGTAGACAACACCATCCTAAATTGGTCACTCCAATTGAGGAGGCCAATTCTGATCTTTGTCCTAAGAGCAGAGGAAGCCACGAAAGGTTTCAGTGTTTGAGGCAGCCTTTACATTGGACCCTCTGGCTGTGGCTTGGAGGTGGACTCCCCACGTGGTGTTCTCTTTGTCTACCAAATCCACCATTTTCTGGGCATCCGAAACCACTGAGGCCTGATTACAAAGCCCATGACTTTCAACCAATATTCACAACTGCCTATTCTCAGAGGTCCTTGAAAGAAGCACACTTTGGTTATTTTCCCGTTAGGATGGCAGAAGTCACCCAAAATATTTGGAGCCGTTCTCCTTAGCTTCAGACATCTAACTGCATGGTGGGGCTGCCATCTTTGGTCGATGGCAGAATTTCACCATTTCACTCTTCCCCATTTTGTTGCTGAAAGCCACACCACCAATCATGGCCAGATTGATGGGGAATCTTCGAGACTCCGTATGTCTATGACTAAATGAAGAGTTCGGGTCAAGTGGGTCACTGATCATTTCAACACAATTGCAGAAACTTTAGATACGCTACAGTCAGCTCTAAAGAAAGTCTTAAAATGAACACAACAAGGTCACACAATTAATATAGATGCATGAATTCTGGGTGAGCTACAGATCAAACTGAATAAAAGAAAAGATACGAATTAAAGGGGAACATATTATTCATTATAACATTTGGTATTTCTTTAAACAAGATGGAGTATCTCAGAATTTTAGCTAAGGGCCAGACTTGCTTTTTTCTAATTCTAAAGGGATTCTATTTTTTTTTAAATGATCGTTTATTTTATACAATAACGACTCAAGTAATTTGGAAATTTTCTCTAGGGTGAAAAAACTTTCTCCTCTTAAATAGATTCTCCATAAAAACAGTGAAAACAACTGTGTGATTCTGTAACTATAGGCTTATAGGTTTTTCGTGTGTGGTTCCTTTTATTTGCTTGATTTTTGTTTTTTATTTATTTTTTTCGGACTATGGCCATGTCACCATGACCTAGAAACCTTGCAAATATCCAGTCAATCCATCCGGTTAAACCAGATCACACCATACCAAGTAATCTATTTTGGCTTCTCAATATGAACTTCACTCCTTGTTGTATAGATTCTGTCCCTCTTGACCCCAAAGCGAGAGGGTTCAAATTTAATTTAATGCCTGGGTTGAACGGGAATGAGACACAGTACAGATGGAAAGAAATGAGGTCTCCTTCAATGCTCCAGATAGATGCTCCCCTTTCTCTGCCACGATACCAAAAACTAAGATGACGCATCTTGTTGTTTGAAAAAAACACATAAATCATATTAATTTAACACTGCTAACCCCTTGGGGGCTGGGGATATACATTTTTTTAAACACGTTCTTTGTGTGAAACTGCTTTCTACGTCTTTTTAAAAGCCTTGTCAATTTCTGTTTAAGTGGTTTTTTTTTTAAAAGGTCAAGCTGAGATATTAGCAACTTAAGCAGCAGTTTGTAGCGTATCCTGCAAGCCAGAAACTCCAGTGTTACTCAGGGAAGTGCTTAATGAGCCAGCGTTGCTTGTTAAATGCATTGATTTATGGTAGGAACGTGAGGAGAGAAGGCTCAAAAAGCAAAGGACTGAGGAGTCCCGGGGTTTAGTTGAGCCTTCTCCTTGGAAAGAAGAAGCTTGGTTGCCAGCAAGGGGGTGATTCCGCAGCCCTCCCCCTCTACCCGGATAGGATTCCTGGGGCTTCTACCCGTGAACGCAGAAGCAGAAACCTTAATTGTCGAGAAGCCGGGGCCAACCCTAGGATAAAAACATCAGTTGGGTCAGGTCAGAACCGCCTCAAACCAGGCAGAAGCACTGATGGAGCAGACATGTACACAGTCTCCAGGTCAGTTCTGATTTTGAATTTAGGGTTGGCTCAAAAGGTGGTTGACAGACAAAACATAGGTTCCTTATTCTTTCAATGTTTCTCAAATTGTGTAGCTCATTTAAACAGTGTCTGGTCGTGCTAACAAAGTTTGCATCTGGCTTTTGTTTGAGATGGAGTCTCACTTTGTCACTCAGACTGGAGTGCAGTCACAGGGTCACGGCTACCACGGCCTTGACCTTCTGGGCTCAGGCGAGACTACAGACACGTACCACCACACGGGGCTCAACTGAAAATTTTTCGTAGAGACAGGATTTCACCATGTTGCCCAGGCTGGTCTCGAACTCCTGGGCTCAAGCAGTCCTCTCACTTTGGCCTCCCAAAGTGCGGAGGTTACAGGATGAGCCACCGTACCTGGCCTGCATTTGGCCATTTTAACAGAGATTAAAACCAACGTTGGAACTGAGAGAAAGGAATACCAATTTCTGCCCCGCCCCTTAACCACAGAATGGACACCTGGCATTCGAACGACGGCAGCTTCTCTGGTCCCGCAGGTCACATAGTGGCAGCACGCCCAGAAGCACGGTGAACAGCCACACGTGGCCTGTGGGGCGCTCACCACGTGGCCCCGTCTTACCTGTTATCCCCTCCTGGTTGTAGCACGTCTTGTGCATCTTCCCCATGAAGAGTTCCAGGCCGATAATGGCGTAGATAATAATGACAAACAGCACGAGCAGGGCGATATGCAGCAGGGGGACCATGGCCTTGATGATGGAGTTCAGAACCACCTGGAGACCTGCAGGGACAGAGTCACCGTCAGCAACGCGAGCGAGGATGTCGGCTCCCACCTATGGAACCTAGCGCCATCTTGGATGCCGTGTGGATGTGATCTCCCGTCCCCCTCCCAGCAGCTCTGCCAGGGAGGTTTCACAAGCCCCGTTTTTCAGACGAGGACACTGAGGCTTGAGTGACAGAGCAGGCCAGAGAGTGACGGAGTAGGGATCTAAACCCAGGCTGGCCTGACTCCAAATCTGCCTTGAAGACACAGCCGAAGGAAAGGCCTGCCAGATGCTGTACTTCCAAGGGGATGAACGTGTTGTTTTCATCCGTAATGATCACATTAGAAGATAACCGGGCATCTTTTTCTCCTAGAGCAGCGTCTCAGCACAGTCAAAGTCAACTCGCTCTGGCTAGAGACGGCCAGGGACTTACTGACCTCTTAAGGTTGGGACTAAGAAGAGTTCTAAAGATGGCGGTGGTGACAGCTGCAACTGTATAGTGAGTTGCAGAGGTGTCCGCTGAGGAGGGGGTGTTCTACGTGCTAATTACAAAAGTGGGAGAGAAAATCCCAAGCCCAGGCATCAGGGGGGCATCTTAGCAGCCCTCAGCGCCATGGCCTCTCATGGCAAGACAATGGTGACCGTGGGAGACGCCAGTTGGAAGGCTCTCCACTTGCCCGCAGTCAGAGGGGTTGGGTTCATTGGCTACCTCAGGCCTGCTGGAACCTCGAATGGCCTCCCCTATTCTAGGATGAAGGCCCTGCGGGGTCTGGGCCTGCCCACCCCCCCACCCACTGCCTGCTCCCAACTCACACAGACGGTGGCTGGGAGCCATCACCACCCTTCACAACCACGTGAAGATACCTAGGGCCACTGAGCTGTACACTTAAAAATGGTTAAAATGCTAAATCTGGTAACGTACGTATTACCATAAAAAAAAGTTTAAGGAGTACCGGATCACTTCAGGAAAGGAAAAAAAAAGAGTCAGTGAAAATCCTATTGGGCACACGGGTCTTGTCAGTGTGTCTGTAGGCGTGCACTGTTGTCTAAAGGGGAGAAGAGCCCTCTTACGTATAAGCTTGACTGCACCATAAATAACACACTGAGAATGCTACTCATTTAAAGAAGTCTTCGTTTATAAATGGCGGGAAGGTGGTTTCCAGTGTCCTCTCCAGATGACACCCAACCCCAAGAGAATCACGTGAGATTCCTGCCCACAGCGAGCGCACTGGGTCTTCATATCCTAGGAGAGACATGGTGGAGAGGGCAGTCCTCCCTCCTTCAGCTGGGCCAGTCGTGCAGCGTCATACCGTGGGCCACGTCTGACACGGACAGGAGTGGACGCCCCCTCGGAGTCACACTGCAGGTGCCACTTTTTGTGTCTCTCCCAGCCTCCCCAGTGCGTGTGGTGTGGGGATTTCATCTTGGGGTTTACCCACCGCCCTCACCGCTGGGCAAACAAAGCCTGGATCACCCTCTCCCCACACCCGCAGGCAGTCCCCCATTCTTTGTGCCCTGGTGGAGTGATTTTCACAAGGCTAATGAGAAGAATTCTTCCCAGCTATTAAGCCAAGCTGGGGTGGGGGGAAGGGAAGAAGAGAAAAGCTGGAATAATTTTACCTGTGAATTAATGAGAGTGCTTTGCAGCCTCCCATTAGAACAAGATGTTTTCAGATCCGAATGATTCCATTAATTAGCAAGTTGTACACACATTAGTGGTAACGAATGCACATGAAAAAGTGGAAAACCGAACTGCAAAGCCACTTTCAGAGGTGTCTGCTGGGAAGGGGGTGTTCCCAGTGCTAATTACAGAAGCGGGAGAGAAAATCCCAAGCCCAGGCACGAGGGGAGCGTCTTAGCAGGCCTCAGTGCCATGGCCTCTCATAGCAAGACAATGGTGACCGTGGGAGACGCCAGTTGGAAGGCTCTCCACTAGGCCACGGCCGGAGGGGCTGGTTCACTGGCCGCCTCGGGCCTGCTGGAACCTTGAATGGCTTCCCCTGAAGGCCCTGTGGGGTCTGGGCCTGCCCATCTATCCACCCACTGCCTGTTCCCAACTCCAGTAAAACAGCTTTTCTTTCTTTTTTTTTAGAGACAGGGTCTTGTTCTGTTGCCCAGGCTGTAGTGCGGTGCGGCTCCTAACTCTTTGCAACCTTGACCTCCTGGGCTCCAGCAATCCTCCTGCCTCAGCCTCTTGAGTAGCTGAGACTGACTACAGGTGTGTGCCACCATGCCTGGCTGATTTTTTAAAAATGTTCATAGAGACGGGAATCTCACTATGTTACCCAGGCCAGTCTCAAACTCCTCAAGCAATCCTTCCACCTTAGCCTCCCAAAGCGCTGAGATTACAGGCATGAGCCGTGGCACCTGGCTGGCTTCTCTTTTCAAGATGCACATATGGGATGTTTCCTCCCACCACTGGACCACCACGCATGCTGTTCCCTCTGCCTGGAATGCTTTTCCCCAATTCCCTCCTACTTATCTTTCAGCTCTGAGCCAGAGTATCTCTTTCCTGAGGATCCTTCCCCCCAGCGCCCAGACCAGAGAAGTTTCCTATGTGATATGTCTTCTTGGAAACATTCCTTTTCCCTTGGAGTATACCCCTAGTTTGAAATGTTGTTCCTTAAAGTGACTGTAAAACCTGCATATCTGGCTCTCAGATCAGGCCGAGTCTTTGAAGACAGTGACAGTGTCTGCTCTTTTCCTTGTCTTATCACTAAGGCCTGTCTTGGCACTGAGTACACAGCGGGCACTCAGGAAATATTTGCCGAGGGAGTGTCAACGCTTATCCTCTAGGCCGGGCGTGGTGGCTCACGCCTGTCATCCCAGCACTTTGGGAGGCCAAGGCGGGAGGATCACTTTGAGCTCAAGAGTTCAAACCAGCCTAGGCAATGTAGTGAGACCCCCCCATCTCTGCAAAGAAATATTTTTAAAAAGTAGCCAGGTGTGGTGGTGTGCACCCATAGTTCCAGATACAGTGGAAGGATCACCCAAGTCCACCAAGTCGAGGCTGCGGTAAGCTGTGATCGTGCTACCGCACCCCAGCCCGGGTGATAGTGAGACCCCGACTCAAAAACAAAAGACAAAACAAAACAACAACTTATCTAAATAAAAGCTACTGCTGTCACGAGTGGGGGGGCCGTGGCTGCCCTGGGGTCTTCTTCCCAGGTGGGTGTGTAACGGACAGGTGAGTTTCAGGATCTGCAGCAGAGGACAGAGGCTGCCAAGCAGGCTGCCGGGAGATCAAGTGGAATCGAAGCAGGCTGTGGGCCTTATTTCACATGGAAGTGATGCCATCAGACTCCCTACAAAGAGCTCTGTTGTTCTTCGTGTCCCTGTCACGCCCCCACCTGAGCATCTAGGCCAGAAATCTGATTTTCTAGACTCCTCCCACCCAGTCACCAAGTCCTGCCGGTTTGGTTCTGAGGTATCTTTAGACATGTCATAAATTATTCTTGCTCTATAAATAATACATGCCAATTACTGAAAAAAAACCAGGGGAACACTTATTACAGAGAAATTAGAAAACAAAGGGAATCAAGACAATAATAATAATAATAATAATAATAAGGCAATCACTCACTGTCCCACCACCCTGAGAGAGCCACTGTTGGCCTTTGGGTCCGTGATTTGTTTTCTTCCTCTCTGGCTCCTTGGTGTTGGTTGTTGGGCTCACAGGTCTCCCTACTTTCAGTGTGGCCATCTTTGTGCTGCAGTTAGAGTGCTCCCCCAAAGTACACACTGGAGCGCATCACTTCCCATCTGAGGTCACCCCGTGACTCTCACCTGCCGGCAACACTCACCTGCCGCCTTCCCCATGTGGATGTCCTGTGTCTCCCAGTTTATACCTTCTGCTCCAGTGATCTACCAGGCGTCTGAAGCTCTCTGGCTTCATGCCGGTGGGCCCAGCACATGCTGTTCCCCCCGCCTGGAATGCCGTTCCCTCCTAACCGAGAGTCCTTGGGTCTCATTGTGTCTTCTTGTCTCTGCATCTCAGGCACGTGGCAAGGACCCTGTGCACAGATGGCTAAGTCACGTTTGTGAGCACAGGGGCCCTTCGGGAGACAGAGGTCACGAGAATGAAGGAACTGGAAACCACGTCATTCCATGATCCTTAGGAGAAACCAAAGATGCTTTCTTGGGACAAAAATAAGTCTCATGGAATGAGGGAAAAGTACAGGCAGAGATGGTGACGCCAGTGATTTTCACATGATCTAAACTGCTATTCTGAGGACGAGGGGTTAGGTGATTCCTGCCTGACCACAGAGATGGAACTAGGAACAACTAGGAAGTATCCAGGAACAACTTGGGTTCAAAACAAATAAACGCTGTCCAAAAGCAGACTTGTCTGAAGGTGGAGTGGGCGCTTTAAGAGGCAGTGGGTTCCCCATCGGCAGGGGTATTCAAGCAGGAACTGAATAAGCGTTTGAGGAGGTGCCTGGGTGGGAATTCCGTCATAGGGTAAAGGATGGCCCTCCGGACACAAAAGGCCCCGGAGGCCCCTAAAACTCATGAATACATTCTGAAGACCCACAGCTCCTAGCACTCCTCCTGGCAACAACCCTGGGAAGTGGGTACTATTTCTTTTATTCATTTCTTTTTTTGAGTTGGAGTCTCACTGTCACCCAGGCTGAAGTGCAGTGGCCACCGCATCCTCAACCTGCTGGGCTCAGGCGATCCTTCTGCCTCAGCCTTCCAAGTAGCTGGAACCATGGGCACGCACCACCACACCTGGCTAATTTGTTGATTTACTGTAGGGTCGAGGTCTCACTAAGTTGCCCAGCCTGGTCTTGAGCCCCTGGGATCAGGCAATCCTCTTGCCTTGGCCTCCCAAAGTGCCGGGATGCAGGCTCGAGGCACTGCGCCAGGCCCTATTTCATTCTTTCCTTTCATTTTCTCCTGGCAACAACCCTAGCAAGCAGGTACTATTACTATTAGGAACCATATTTCACAGAAGAGACGAGGGCGTCCCAAGAGGCGAGGAAGTGGCAGCATGGCACTCAGTGCCGTGCCGTCT